ATATCGAGCTTGCTCTTTCTGTTCATGCTGTCTGTTAAAATATCTTTTGTCACCAGGAGGAACGGGTGGCTCAGTCGGTGTGCAGAGTTGCGTCCATTGGGCATGCCAGAAACCTATGATTGTGGGTTCGAATAACGGTTCGCCCCGATTATGTTTCTAGGTTTGTCAGCACCATACCCGTGCTCGTGGGTTTCACCGAAGTGGTAAACGTCTGAGACCTGCATTACGTCGGGCTTTCCTCCCACATTAAGCTGACACGCCGTGATATAACTGGAACACTGCTCAGTGTTTTGTCACCATGACATGGGAAAATACAGACTTTTTATATACTAGAACTAGTAGTTCGGGTTAAAGTGCGAAGAACTCTTTCAGGTAGTAGACGCGTGAAGATCCGGGGTAGAATAGGTCTTCAACAAACCCATGCTTGCCGTAAAAGGCGACTATGCTTGTCGTAAATGGCGACTAACGGGATCGGGTGGTCAGGCTCCCTGACATGTCATCGTATTCCAGTTGAGTTAAACGATGCTCATGATGCCAATCACTGGATTGTCGGATCCAGACTCGATTATTTACAGACCGCCGTCATATAGCTGGAATATTGCTGGGTGAGGCGTAAACCGCAAACAAACTTTCAGGTAGTATCCGAAATCTCTATAGAGCTTATAATTTATAAATATGACCCCAAACCAAATTATGGAAATTATTTTTTTGATGAACATAAAAATACAGATATTATCTATATTTATTATATAAAGAATGGGAAAAGTATTTTAATCGTAAGACGTGAACGGTGTATGTATACCATACTAACATGTGCAGTACTAGTGAAGAGTGAAAGTTAACTCTCCTGGGTAAACAACTTTCATGATCAAGGTTAAGAAATCACATAGTGTCTGGTACAACGGGGTCTTGATTAACTTCCATATATACTAAAACGACAATATCTTTGTCATGGGGATTACATAGCTACTTGTAAAGTCTGTTTTAAAAGAATCGGTAAAAATGCGTCATATTGCGTAAACCACATAGTCAAAGAATACGGCATTGTCTCACGCCTGTAATAATGTCAACAGCACACGACCGCACATTCACGAAGGTCTGTGTAGGGATTATGTAAGAGGACCTGAACATTATATTTACGCCCAAACAATGGATTGTACGCATTAGTAACCCCACTGTACCCAGGTAAGGCTTCCTACCTTTGTCCCTGACAGTGGACATGCACTGGCGGCGGTAACAGGTCATATCGACGCTGTGAGTTACATACGTGTATCGCCACTTGGAATATTGGCCCCCGTTGTAACACCAGGAATGGATTTCTTGCCGTCATAGTATTTCGAGGATTCTTGGGGTTTGTAATTGGCCTTACGTGTATAAATGTTACGTCATATTAATAGTGTCTGAATCAGTATTGTATTGACATATATATTTGATAATGCATGTATATCTCTGTTATTATCTTTTCAATTTCTTGGTACGTTGTAGCTAGACGTGTGATGTCTATCTGCATTTAGAATATACATGTGCAACTTCAGTGTTTATAGCATTTATAGTTGTAAGTATGTATTTGAAACTTGAGTGGTCTTACATTTACAGTTGTAAGTATGTATTTGAAACTTAAGTGGTCTTACATTTTTAGTTGTAAGTATGTATTTGAAACTTGAGTGGTCTTACATTTATAGTTGTATGTATATTTGAAACTTGAGTGGTCTTACATTTAGAGTTGTATGTATTTGAAACTTGAGTGGTCTTACATTTATAGTTGTATGTATATTTGAAACTTGAGTGGTCTTACATTTAGAGTTGTATGTATTTGAAACTTGAGTGGTCTTACATTTATAGTTGTATGTATTTGAAACTTGAGTGGTCTTACATTTAGAGTTGTAAGTGTGTATTTGAAACCTCAGGGTGTCTTACATTTATAGTTGTAAGTATGCATTTGAAACTTAAGTGTTCTTACATTTAGAGTTGTATGTATTTGAAACTTAAGTGTTCTTACATTTAGAGTTGTATGTATTTGAAACTTGAGTGGTCTTACATTTATAGTTGTATGTATTTGAAACTTGAGTGGTCTTACATTTAGAGTTGTAAGTGTGTATTTGAAACCTCAGGGTGTCTTACATTTATAGTTGTAAGTATGCATTTGAAACTTAAGTGTTCTTACATTTATAGTTGAATGTATATTTGAAACTTGAGTGTTCTTACATTTATAGTTGTATGTATTTGAAACTTGAGTGGTCTTACATTTAGAGTTGTAAGTGTGTATTTGAAACTTGAGTGGTCTTACATTTAGAGCTGTATGTATTTGAAACTTGAGTGGTCTTACATTTAGAGTTGTATGTATTTGAAACTTGAGTGGTCTTACATTTAGAGTTGTATGTATTTGAAACTTGAGTGGTCTTACATTTAGAGTTGTAAGTATTTGAAACTTGAGTGGTCTTACATTTAGAGTTGTAAGTGTGTATTTGAAACCTCAGGGTGTCTTACATTTAGAGTTGTAAGTATGTATTTGAAACTTCAGTGTGTCTTACATTTAGAGTTGTAAGTATGTATTTGAAACCTCTGTGTCTATTACATGTCCCAATAATATAAACTATTAAATATAATATAAACTAGTAAATAGGTTCTAAACAAATAATTGAAGTTTGATATGCTCTTAGGTCATTCGTCGTCAAATTAAAAACGTTGGTGTTTAAACGAAATCCATTCAGAGTCGAAGTAGGAAAATCAACTGGCCCTCACGGGCATTAAATAAGTTGATTCAGGAAATCCAGTTTCACAACAAGACTTTTTGACAGCAATCCAATTCTGGCGCCCTTGGAGTCTTTGCATATCATAACTCCCAGCTTACGTAGATCCCTGCCTACTGGTGGCATTAGTCACCACGAACTACAGTTACTCGGCCTAGCCATATTGTCCACTTGTGGCAGAGGCGTCTTAATGCGTATACCAATCACTGCCGGAGATTTCACAGCTGGGTAAACTCGCCCAGTAAACACAACCAGCGGAGTACTAATGGGAAACAATATTACCCACTGTTGTTTATAATTCATCAACTCCATACACTGAATCTGATGTTGACCGTTGATACACACCTGATTCATTCCGCGATCAGTTTGTTGTCAATGTGTCGAATGGTTATTATGTGTTTGAGCTCGTGAGTGCGTGAATGGATGTTTGTTTGTTTGTTGTTTAACGCCGCACTCAGCAATATTCCAGCTATATGACGGCAGTCTGTAAATAATCGAGTCTGGACCAGGCAATCCAGTGATTGTCATCATGAGCATCGATCCACGAAATAGGGATACGATGATATGCATCAACCAAGTCAGTGAGTCTGACCACCCGATCCGTTAGTCACCTCTTACGACAAGTATAGTCGCCTTTTACGGCAAGCATGGGTTGCCGAAGATCCTATTCTTCCCCGGGTCTCCACGGGCTGCGTGAATGAATGAGTGAGTGAGTAAGCGAGAGCGTGTATGTGATTAAATGTGTCAGTGAGTGAGTGTTGGTTAACGTTTCAGACAGCAATATTCAAGCTATACCACGGCAGCCTGTAACAATCGAATCTGGACCACACAAACCAGTGACTAAACGTACAACTAACGATCCTCGGGATCGGATAACGATGACATCCATTCAGCCTATCATCAAGTCTGATCCCCGGGTGCCCATTTTAGTCCGCTGTCATAACAAGTATTAAGTGCTGCGGACATTTAAAAAAAAAATTTTTTTTGAGAAAAAAACAAACCGAATAATTTAAAAAAAATTAAAAAAATAAAAAATATTGGTTTGCTAGACATGCCTTTAAAAAATGTGTCATGGAAAGCAAAATTTGTTTGGTTCCTCAATTCAAGAAAGGATTTCGCGAACACCTGGTGTCATCACAGATTTTCAGTGAGCCATATAATTTTCACCGCTACTTTGCCTTTACGCCCAATTTACAAGTAATGTTTCGGCGCCTTATCGAGATTGGTTATTCTCTAGCGTTGAGGTTTTATATATATTCGGGTGTTCTCAAACTTCTTTTGAGTAGTATATAGTAAAGAAGTGACAAAAAAAATATTCAGCCTGTAACAAAAATTCCTCTGATATAGTCGTATACAGTTCTAGTGAATGAAGCATCACCTTAGCGGGGCTTTATGTACATCAGGTACACGGTATGGTAAACTGTGGTTGTTAAACAGTGATGATCAAACCATGGCCAGAGATATTTTAAATCTTAAGCCCAGCTTAAGGAGTACACATAAAACTGTAGGATAATGGGATTACGAGAACGTGTATTGACCTCCACTGCCTAACGAGACGTAGTAATGGTGGTCAAAAAGGCACTGCAGGAGATTATTAGCACGGTCAGTGAGATTTTATTTCGTCATCAAGCTTACAAAAGCTCTAATTTGTCTAATTCTGACCCTATCAAAGGTTATGAGGTACATCCTGTTAGCGCGAAGTGTCGACCCAAATTTCGACAATTTGGCATGCGTGTAACCTCGAGATACACTACTGCCTAGAAGTTCATTCCCCTTACATGCATGGGCAACGCGTTACGCAACCAGTGTGCATCGGGTTGGTCACTCGTGTGGAACCCGTCCGCCACGCGTGTGATACCCGTGTGCAACGCGTTGCACACGGGTGTGCACCCCGTTCGCCACTCGTGTGCAACGCGTGACACACTCATTTGAGGGGGAACAAACTTTTGACCAAAGGAGGACCCGTGTTAAGCTGAACCTGGAGGTGGTAACAAGGAGAAGAAAATTTTGGTATCCTGACGAAAAATGATAATACACATGTATTTGCTAATGTCTCCTTTCTTTATGTGATTTTGTGGGAATAACATGAATACTGTTGTGATTAAATAGATCTGTCTCGTTTTATACGACCATTGCTTCTAAATCCGATGGTGTTAAGAGAATACATGGTCCTGGAACATGTATGCATGTATCGAGAGAGCCGTCTTGTGTATTGAAAGCCGATCATTCATTGTGTACCCTTTTCTCTAGGGAGGACAGCTATGCTTGAACAGTCAACGACCACTTGATCGTTGGAGCAATCTGTGACATGCCCAGGGTGGCCAACGTTCTTCCATCACAGCCCGTCCTGAGGTCCGAGAAAGCACGAGATTTAGAAAAATGGGTTGAGTCCTCGGCAGCGACCGTGGCGAATGACGATGTTGAGATGCCGGACACGAAGCTGCACGGAGCTCTCACCAAACCCGTGTTGGAGATAGTGAAACCGGAAGTCACCGTCTCACCTGAATATGAAGATGGTAATTATTACGATCAACAATATTTAAACTAAATGCCGTATTTCCTCTAATAAGAGCCGTAAGCCGTGGGGTAAAGTGTTCTCCCGTCACTTTGAAGCAGCTTAAAAAATTACAACACAAAAAGCACCGGATCTCTAATATGATGTATCAAGAACATACAATTCTATCACATGCCAGTTTATTAGCGAATGTAGCTTATGCTTCACCGCAGTTGAACTATTGAACGCCGAATCTTTATCATATTACCACCGGGCCTCCGTTAGCCGCCGGGTTTGGAAGCTTGTTCAAAGAATAAGCGTCGCGACGCTTATTAGAGGAAATGCGGTGAACCTTTAATAAAACGAACCTGCAGAATGACCATCAGTTGTCAGCAGCATTATGGAGATGAGGATGGGGAAATTCATTGAGAAATGCATGGAGAAACAGGTACTTTACAGGTCTTGCTGATGACAAAACGTTTGATTGGTGTCCTGATTTTGTATATTTGCTTTTAAGACTTCGCACAGAACAATTCATGGAAGTGTAGTTCTTTTGGCAAAGGGCTATGCTTTTTTTAAAATCAGTTTTGTTCTTGGTGTTTTGATATAGCATTTTTGCATCATTAATATTATTTTGTTTTCGATGTGATCGCAGAGCATTACAACTTTCCCTTCACTAGATTTGTGTTGTGACACATGTTTATCTTTGCTGCTCATGTTGTCTTGGGACATAGCTCGCTTTTTCACGATGTTTTCCAGCCCTAGGTTTGCAACGCGTCGAAAAGGGCTGAAGGATTGGACCACACTGCCTGATCGATATATTATAGTATTTAGGCGGTTGACAGCAATGAAACAGACACAACTCTGCAGCCTTCGGCTCCGTATGGAATCCTAGTAGGGACATTGTCGCGTTGTCGGATTGTTGCCCTTTGGTAATAACCAAAAGTATTTTTCGACAATATTTTCGCGACAATGCGACAGATGGTCAAAATGACGCCTTGTCGCATTGTCGCGGTTTTGTTAATTTTGACAGTTTTGTTAGTTTTTGCAAGGGCGGCAACACGGCACTGCGACAATAACCTTTCGGGTACTCCATAGCTTCTCGAGTACAGATGGTGACTGATAGAACGTTGTGCTTCAGACTACAGCGATGTCTTCAAGAAAGAGGCTGTGACGACTGTGAAGGAGTCCAAGACTCTCAAAGTCTACAGGAAGGCCTGTAAGCGCCTGGGACTCGTGCAGCTCCGCAATGTCATCAGCCAGTTCGGCTCCATGGACCTGTGTTTCCGGGACTGTGCCTTCTCCGCGAAGGAGCTGAAGGCGCTGTGCATGGCGTTGCTGGTACGTCACGTGACATCGGCAGGTGGCACCTGTCACGCACCTCATTCTCCCGACTCACTCATAAAATAAATAAAAAATATTATATAGGAAATAATATGGTACATGTATACTTCCTTTTCTCTAAGTTTATTAGATTGTCTGCGTGGTCTAGTGGATAGGGTGTGTGAACAGAGAGTACAAGGTCGGTGGTTCGATCCCCGTCAGCGTAATACCAAAAGACGTTAAAAAAGATGGTACTTGTTTCCTGCCAGGCTCTCGGCGTTAATGGGCTAAAGCAAGGACTGGTTGTCTCGATGTCAGTATAGTGTGTCCGAGTGGGGTATCCGTGTCAAGCAGCGTCATGGTATGTCAGTTGGCTAGCACTATAAAATTATCAGTCCGGACTAGTACAAGTAGCCACACACAGACGCTCACACGTGCATGCACGCCGCTATAGAAGTGCAATTATCTTGACCGTGACGTGAAACCCCATTTCACCTCATTCATATCGCCATTATCCCTATTATATGGTGGAATGTTGTGCATGGAAAATAAAGAACATTTCGTTTTTATCTCATCAATTTCACTAGCACATTGGGTAATTCACGGTTTGTTATTCTCAAATATAACTATGCTTACTGCTCTAGTATCAAATGAGTTTGAAAATACAAGGACTGTATTCTTTACCTATGTTTATGACAGTGTTGGGTATTTGCTTTTTTCTGATTTTAATTCACATGAAGACCCTGCCCTTTCAACAGAGCGATCCTAGCATAACGTTTACCGTGCCTACATTGACAGGTTTACGGTAATCATAGCGCTTTGTAGCGCTGAGTGAGTGAGTGAGTGAGTGTGGTTTTACGCCGCTTTTAGCAATATTCCAGCAATATCACGGCGGGGGACACCAGAAATGGGCTTCACACATTGAACCCATGTCGGGCATCGAACCCGGGTCTTCGGCACGACGAGTGAACGCTTTAACCACTAGGCTACCCGACCGCCCCCTTTGTAGCAAGAGGAACAACGGGTCTTGATTCTATACGCAATTTCCCGTTGGTTGATGTTTGTCTGTGTTTCTGTAACCATGGTAACGGCATTTCTGTGTTGTCCAGTACGAGAGACACATGTGGCACCTTGACCTGTCCGGCAACTCCGTGGGGCGGAAGGAGTTCGAGTATGTCCTCGCTGTCCTGGAGAAGAGAACCAACGTGTGTGTGCTGGTCAGTACCTATCTGTTGAGTGAGTGAGTGAGTGAGTGAGGTGTTACGATGTTTTTGGCAATATTCCTGCAATGTCACGGCGATAACACCAGAAATCGATTTTAAACATTGTACCCATGTAGGGATTCGAACCCGGACTAGTGAGCGAGCGCTTTAATCACAAGGCTACGACCCCGCCGCCCACCACCCCTTCTTGAATTATATACAGTCAAAAGCCCATTAGTCCGAAAAACGTAGCTGAACAACACGTTCCGGGCGATTTCTTATAGGAATTTCAATACGCTACAACGTATTCGGACCCGTGAAGATCCCACGCTTGACGTAAGAGGCGACTAACGGGGTCGGGTGGTCAGGCTCGCTGACCTTGTTGATGTATGTCATCGTATCCTATTTGCGTGGATCGTTGCTCATGATGTCAATCACTGGATTGTCTGATCCAGACTCGATTATTTACAGACCGCCGTCATATAGCTGGAATATTGCAGAGTGCGGCGTTAATAAACAAACAAACATGCTTGTCGTAAGGGGCGACTAAAGGGATCCCTGGATTGTCTGCTCCAGACTCGTTTATTCACAGACCATGGTTCTTTAACGCGTAATTTAATCCCCGACCATTTCATTTGCAACGATGACGTCTGGATAAAGTCGACTGTTGATGCCATTCTCATCGTTATCGCGTAGCCATTCACTGCACCAAATATCAATCTTGATCTAAACAATTCTTTGTATAGAATCATATAAATACATACTTTTACAAATCCATTTTATGAAACACTAGTACCTGATTTTAATATACCTGTTTCAGGACCTATCAAACAATGAACTGTCGGGAAACGGTGTGCGGCAGTTAGCGGATTTCCTGCGACGATGTGACAACGTCACTGATATTGATATCTCAGGTGAGACTTCTGTACACCAGGGCACGTATCGTAATCTTAGGTGAGACTTCTGTACACCAGGTTCGCCTATCGTAATCTTAGGCGAGACTTCTGTACACCAGGCCACGTATCGTAATCTTAGGTGAGACTTCTGTACACCAGGTCCACATATCGTAATCTTAGGTGAGACTTCTGTACACAAGGTCCACGTATCGTAATCTTAGGTGAGACTTCTGTACACCAGGTCCACGTATTGTAATCTTAGGTGAGACTTCTGTACACCAGGTCCACATATCGTAATCTTAGGTGAGACTTCTGTACACAAGGTCCACGTATCGTAATCTTAGGTGAGACTTCTGTACACCAGGTCCGCGTATCGTAATCTTAGGTGAGACTACTGTACACCAGGTCCGCGTATCGTAATCTTAGGTGAGACTTCTGTACACCAGGCCACGTATCGTAATCTCAAGTGAGACTTCTGTACACCAGGCCACGTATCATAATCTCAAGTGAGACTTCTGTACACCAGGCCACGTATCGTAATCTCAAGTGAAACTTCTGTACACAAGGTCCGCGTATTGTAATCTTAGGTGAGACTTCTGTACACCAGGTCCGCGTATTGTAATCTCAAGTGAGACTTCTTTACACCAGGTCCGCGTATTGTAATCTTAGGTGAGACTTCTGTACACCAGGTCCACATATCGTAATCTTAGGTGAGACTTCTGTACACCAGGTCCACGTATCGTAATCTTAGGTGAGACTTCTGTACACCAGGTCCACGTATCGTAATCTTAGGTGAGACTTCTGTACACCAGGCCACGTATCGTAATCTCAAGTGAAACTTCTGTACACCAGGTCCGCGTATCGTAATCTTAGGTGAGACTTCTGTACACCAGGTCCGCGTATTGTAATCTTAGGTGAGACTTCTGTACACCAGGTCCACATATCGTAATCTTAGGTGAGACTTCTGTACACCAGGTCCACGTATCGTAATCTTAGGTGAGACTTCTGTACACCAGGTCTACGTATCGTAATCTTAGGTGAGACTTCTGTACACCAGGCCACGTATCGTAATATCAAGTGAGACTTCTGTACACCAGGCCACGTATCGTAATCTCAAGTGAGACTTCTGTACACCAGGTCCGCGTATCGTAATCTTAGGTGAGACTTCTGTACACCAGGTCCGCGTATTGTAATCTTAGGTGAGACTTCTGTACACCAGGTCCGCGTATCGTAATCTTAGGTGAGACTTCTGTATACCAGGTCCGCGTATTGTAATCTTAGGTGAGACTTCTGTACACCAGGTCAACGTATTGTAATCTTAGGTGAGACTTCTTTACATCAAGTCCGCGTATCGTAATCTTAGGCGAGACTTCTGTACACCAGGCCACGTATCGTAATCGTAGGTGAGATTTCTGTACACCAGGCCACGTATCGTAATCTCAAGTGAGACTTCTGTACACCAGGTCACGTATCGTAATATCAAGTGAGACTTCTGTACACCAGGTCCACGTATCGTAATCTCAAGTGAGACTTCTGTACACCAGGTCACGTATCGTAATCTCAAGTGAGACTTCTGTACACCAGGTCCACGTATCGCAATCTCAAGTGCGACTTTTGTCAGCCGATTCACGCAGTCAAGCAGTCAGCCAACTCACAGAGCTTGACCGTGTATCCCCTTTTAGTCGGCTTTTAGTCCTGCATAAATAAAAGACATACTTGTCATTGTGATTGAACTTATGTAATTAACAACGCGATTTGTTTCATTTACCACAGGTAATAAATTAACCGACATAGACGGCAAAGCCATCGGAGATGTCATACAGGTAAGTGCCCTGATTAACTGTATTTCCTTTCAATACATATTCTCGTCGGGGATTCAACACATTGTTTGAGGAGTAAGCGTCTTTTTCTTGCAATGATAGAGTAGCGGAGATGACTTACCGTTTGGGGAATAATAGTTACAGGTATTATTTCTGTATTGTTGTCGGGAAGAAAAACAAGTCCCATGAAACACCGTTAATCCGGAAGGTAGGGTTTCAAATGAAATTATTCGTATTACAAATATTTCGTCATGTTCCTTTGCCATATTTGAGCGATCTTATCGCCAAATACGCCAGTCGACACTTGGATTAGCGGTCGTTCCTTTTTACATGAACCACGGTATACCCTCGTTCTTCGGTCCTGGCGATCGGGGATGTGCGAGAGGTACGGTGTCAGTACCAGAGGGCCCATGGACTTTTACCGTAGTTCCCCCAACAATCACAAAAGAATGTTCTTTGTTTAACAGCTTTTATTCACTTCTTGTGTTAATGGTCCAATCCACTCTTGGACACACACATCCACACGTCACGTGAAATCTGGGGTAGAGTAGGTCTTCAGCAACCCATGCTTGCCGTTAAAGGCGTCTGCGCTTGTCGTAAGAGGAGACTAACCAGATCGGGTGGTCAGGATCGCTGACTTGGTTGATGCATGTCATTAAACAACGAACACAACAAACAAACAAACATTTACTTTCATGTGTCCACGACGACTTCCCCCAGAGCACGTGTTCTTACTTAATATTTTCACTTTAATTATGTGAATTAATGTTACAATTCCATGCTAATTATGTAAATAAATACTATAATTTCCTGCCCATAATATTACCCCCATAAGTTAACATTGTTTACGACAGTCGTAGCGCTGAGATTAGTTTTCGGGGCACTGGATCTCCAATGTTCACAACGTCTGCATGGTACATAGAACAATGTAGTAGAGGATTCGAACTAACTAACGAGGTATTGACTGACGGCTTACGGGGAACAGACAGTACGGACTAACGGGGTCGGCACTGACGGAGTCATGACTAACGGGCTGACGGGCTAACGGGCTAACGGGTCAGAACTAACGGAATACGGACTATCGCTGTCCGACTCATCTTCCCGAGGCAAGTGAGTTAACTGACTATAAAAGTCCAGTTTCTACGCTTGCCGAACTAGGCTGGTATTATGGAGTTACATTTTGGCTGGACTAACGAGTCTATGCATAGTCCAATCAAAATCGCGCACTGAAATCGAAATCCGGTTCGTAAAGTGTCATGCAGATTTCGGTCGACTGCAGGATTTGCAAAGCATGTGCACCGCTAACTCGTTGTCAACAGATATTTTCTAAATCTTTTCATGCTTTTAATCAAGGTGCTCACGTGATTTGATGCACTTCGCGATGTAAGACTCGTTTTATCACAATATAGATCTTGATTATCAACCAGATCGTCTTGACTGGGCGCCACCGTTTTGTTTGAAGCAGCGCTACGATCGAGCCCAGGAATTCCAGCCTAGTTCGGCAAGGGTGGAAACTGGACTTTTAAAGTCAGTTAACTCTCTTGCCTCGGGAAGATGGGTCCGACTGTACGGACGAAAGAGGTTGGTACTAGTTCGGTACGACTAACGGCATCGGCACTGACATGGTAAAGGGGTCAAGGACAAATGCACACGGCTTAACTGTGTTTTAACTATCGAGTTTTCACTTCTGAATTTCACTTTTCACTTGAAAGAGCCAATAAATATATAAAGTCATTTCTCAAAGACAAGCCCTTTAGGACCTACGGACCATCCTCACTGTTGTGTAATCTTCATGTCCGTGTGTGTCTGACAGGAAAACAACTCATTAAGCCGCCTCCGCCTCGCCCACAACGAGTTGAGAGACACTGGGGGGAAGATCATTGGTGCTGCGTTAGGTAAGTAGCATTCAAGGTGCACACCTTCATTTTTAATGTATTTGATGCTGGAACACGAATAATAAAACAAGCCATGTATTACCCTAGTCTGTACAAACGCATCGGGCGTTAAACGATATAGCTCACACTACATAAGGGATATCTACTTATACACGAAATCTATATAAAGACAGTCATATAACGGCTAAAACCTACAGCCACACAATCTTTTGACATGTTATATCTTTGTTTAATATTTCATTTTTTAAATATGTTAATGTAATTATCATTGTGAGCTAGTAAAACAATATGCCAGCAATAGTTGAGGTGAAATGGGTTTAACATCGCATTCAAGATAATTGTTTCTGCTAGTCCGGACAAATGCCGGTTATATAGTGCTAGCCCACTCAGATACCATGCCACAGTTTAATATTGATACCCCTGTCAGACACAGTATAATGACCCCGAGCCGAAGAGTTGTGTCCCCTTAATGCCGAGCGCCAGTCAGGGTGACAACAAGTACCATATTTTAACGTCTTTTGGTATGACGCGGCCGGGGATCGAACCACCGACGTTCCGCTCTCCTGACAGAGGTTCTATACACCCGACCACTGAAGCGGTCAGTTTCCGCAATAGTAACTATTGTGTACTGAGAATGGTCTTCACTGATGGTGTACTGATGTTGGAAATCGGAATCGTCGGCGTGGAGTGCCAACGCTAAAGCCATGCACCAGGCTACCCCAGCGCCCTATGAGTAGAGATGCATGACAACCTGCCGGGTGAATGTGCATCTATGTGTTGTGTTGGTTCAAACCCAGGTTAGCCCCGATTATTATTCTAGGTTTGTCAGCATCATTCGTATGCTCGTGGGTATTTACAAAGTGGTAAACGTCTGAGACCTGCATCACTTCGGGCTTTCCTCCCACAGTTTAGCTGACACGCCGTGATATAACTGGAATTGTGTGTGGAACAGCGGCGTAAAACAAAACTCACTCAGTTGTGTCTTGCAGTAAAGAATCGCCATCTGGAGGAACTAGACATGAGCTGGAACCACCTGAGGCAGAAGGGAGCTATAAGTATAGCCAAGGGATTGGAGGTAGCGTTATTACGTACACACGTTTGAAACTGGACAGGCATCATTGTCGTATAGACCCGTGAAGAACCGGGTTAAAATAGGTTTTCAGGAACCCATGCCGAAAGAGGCGACTATGCTTGTCGTAAGAGGCGACCCTTGGGATCGGGGGGTCAGGCTCGCTGACTTGATGCATGTCATCGCATCCGAATTGAGTAGATCGATGATGTCAATCACTGGATTGTCTGGTGCAGACTCGATTACAAACCGCCGTCATATAGCTGGAATAATGCTCAGCGCGGCGTTAAACAACAATCTAACACTGTCATATAGCATGTTGGGCACACTTGTCTCATCCTCGATTATCAAGTTTATTATTATGACAATATGTTATGACATCTACTCAGGAACGGTCATCTTCGTTTGTGTGTGACGTCACCACCTTCATCACGCTTATCAATAAATTCCTCCAGAAATCAAGAGATAATTAAACCATTCTTTTTATTGTTGTATATTCGAATATCATTCTAAATGGAGCTATGGGAGCGAAGGGGTCCAGGATGTTTATCGTGAAGAATGAGGAACTTATACACTGGATAATGTAGGATGCAGTCGTATCGCCTCACATACAAATTATTCAGTCAAAACCAGATGGCATTCTGGCAACTGGAGGAAGTAGTGTCACAAAAAGTAGAGGTTTGACTGGGCTACTGTCTTCCTAAACCAGACAAGCGGTGACCGATTTCTCAAAAAGCATTCATTTGTTCTCTGTAATGAATGAAACTACGTGGAATTTGGTGTGAAGTAAAATTGTTCCCGTCAATATTAACGTTTCGAGAAACAGACTTGTTTCACAAAGAGATCTTTGCGCTTACTTAGACTTAGAACATAGACTTACGACAGTCGTAGCTTAAGAGCGACATTAGCGCGAGACTATGTCTTATTCTGACAGAACGCTAAGATATTATTTTAGGTAATAGAACACAGTCCGAGGCATGATTTAATTTGTCATATATCAATACATCGTGGGACTCTTTGTGAAATGTATTCATAATAAATTCATTTGCTATTTTGTTCTTCATTCCAGACAAACACATGTATACAAATTGTAAACTTGTCTTGGAATGGCTTCGGATACGAAGGCTCGGTTGCCCTTGGTGATATGCTAACGAAGAACAACACTATTACGTCACTAGATATATCCTCAAACCGAATCAGTGCTGCAGCTTTACTGGAGATCATCAGGGGGCTATCCAAGAACCGCACTCTCGCAACGTTGAAGGTGAGTATTCCGCGTTCTGCAAGTGATATGAGTGGTGGAATCTGATTGGTCAATAGAAGGGACATAGAAGGGACATAACTCGTAGTAGCCACTGGTTGCGCTACGATCGAGCCCAGAAATTCCAGCCTAGGATTCTTTGTCAGTTAACTCCCTTGCCTCGGGAAGATGCCACGCCCTGTACTGATTGTTTGTTTGTTGTTTAACGCCTCACTCGTTCCACGCAATTGGGATACGATGACATGCTTCAACCAAGTCAGCGAGCCTGAGCACCCGATCCCGTTAGTCGCTTCTTACGAAGGAAGGTGTTTCAGCAATATGCTATAATTGCAAAACTTTTGAAAAACAGCCTTAAACCACAATCATTCCTTGGAAGATGCGGCTGGTGATATGAGGCGCCGCAATTCGCTGTACAGAGTGTTGTCCCTTTGCTGTACCAGGATCATCTGATGAGACTCGAATCTTAAATTTCCGCCGATTATGAACCTTGGTTGACCATCATCATACCATGCCCCTGAGTTTCAGTAAAATGATGCCCAATGTGTGAAGCCCATTTCTGGTGTTCCCCGTCGTGGTTTTGCTAAACTATTGTTTCAAGCGGCGTGAAACCATATTCATAAGCTCAAATGACACGCGTCTACGACCAGTGAATGACTCTGCTCCAACACAAACCTGATACACAAAACTTAAAACGTGGTTATTATTATACACGCCCGACCTAAAAGGGTTGGGGTATATAGTTATACCAAGGAATTCCGTCCGTCCTTCCGAGGACATTTGTTTATGCGTCCTACAACTTGAGAACTGCTACATAGATTCTTTTCAAACTTGGTGAACACGTTTTATACCCAGAGGCGAGGTGCAGGGCGAAGTTTGATTTCAATATTTGGACTTTTTGAAAAAATACAGGTTTTTTTTTCATATTTTGACGTAGAATGTTTTTGCTTAAACATTTGTGTGACCTATAACTTCAAAAACAACTTCATGGATTCTTTTCCAATTGGTTGTACAGTTTCTTTACAAATAGAAGAGGTGCAGTGCGAAGTTTGTTTTCAATATTTGGATTTTCTGAAAAAATACAGCTGTTTTTCTTCTTTTTTTAATAGAATGTTTTATTACTAAAACTACTTCATGGGTTCTTTTCCAGTTGTGGGTACAGTTACTATAGCAAAAGGAGAGGTGCAGTGCAAAGTTTGATTTAAATAAGTAGGTTTTCTGAGAAAATATTGCTTTTTATCATGTTTTGAACTTAGGAATATGTAGAGTCGAAGTCGGGGGTATTAGTGAGCCCTGCTCCCTTTTGTCTTGTTTATTGATTGTATTTATGTGTAAAATGTGTTATATTTGTAGATCGGCCACAACCCAATCACGGCTTCTTTCACCAGCGTCCTCCTGGAGGCAATACTGAAGCATCCCCACGGAGCGATCCAGCAGCTGCACATGGACGTATGTTCACCACACACTCTCCCCCGGCGGCCATTATATCGCCTGCTACAGTGTACCCCATTGAATAGAAATGTTCATGAGAATAAATAAAACTCATAGAAAATAACAGTGATGTGAAACAATTTAATTATGATTTGGTTGGTTGGTTTGTTGTTTAACGCCGCACTCAGCAATATTCCAGCTATATGACGGCGGTCTGTAAATAATCGAGTCTGGACCGGACAATCCAGTGATTAATATCATGAGCATCAATCCACCCGATTTGTATAGTTAATATATGATCCCGCCAAATTCATATTGGTAAGGTATCAATAGAATTAAGGAAAAAGTTCTCGTTCAAAATAATTACTTTCTCGTTTGTTTGTTTGTTGTTTGACGCCGCACTCAGCAAAATTCCATCTATATGACGGCGGTCTGTAAGAAATCTAGCCTTGACCAGACAATCCAGTGATTTACTTCATGAGCATCGATCCACTCAATTGGAATACGATGACATGCATCAACCAAGTCAGCGAGCCTGACCACCCGATCCCGTTAGTCGCCTTTTACGACAAGCATAGTCGCCTTTTACGGCAAGTATGGGTTGCTGAAGACCTTTTCTACCCCGGAATCTTCACGGGTCTTTCATTATGAAAGTGAATACATTTATATACGTGAATAAAAGGACACATGTTTATAAATGTATTCATAATTGAGTGTGTGTTCAGCGGGCATGGTGGCCAAGTCGTTGAAGGCCACGCGATTCGCTGTGCAGTTTTGTCAGTTGGGCACGCCAGAAAGCTGTGATTATGGGTTCGAATCCAGGTTCGCCTTGATTATGTTTCTTGGTCTGTAAGCAACATACCGCGCTCGTGGATTTCACCAAAATGCTAAACGTCTAATACCTACATCACATCGGAATTTTCTCCCGCATTAAGCCGACACGTCATTATATAACTGAAATACTTTAGAGGTTGCATGATTAGAAAACATATTCCGCCAACAATGTAACATAACAATATGAATATTTATTTTATATTTTATATTACGTGTTTGAATCCTTATCTATCGTGTAGTTGTCCGATTTTCGATCACGAACGTTGATACTACTAAATTTCGTTTATCCGACATACTCGTTAATCCGACATAATCATATGCAATCATCGATGTCGGATTAACGGGACTTGACTGTACTTTTCAAAGCGGGTGAAGCCCAACTCACTCACAACACATGTTCTATTAAGGTAGATCAGTGGTTACATGGTCGACAGCCGAACACCATATGGTCTTATTCTGAATTCCGTGACTTATCTCAGCGGTATAACCAGATATTCGCTATATCAGGGTTCGTTATATACGGAGTTGAAAGGCTACAAAATGGCAATCCGTGAAGTCCCCAGGAATACTACTGTCCATCACAACGTATGTACCTTCTTGAACGAACATAAACACGTCTGACACTTCCTTCCTTCATCAGGGCGTTGTAGTAGACAAGGAGTTCGAGGGTGTTCTCGAGAAGATCCGAAAATCTCGCTACCTGGAAGTGACGTATGAGATCTCTCTACCAATCACGAAGAAGACTCGCGAGGAGATGATGAAGGAGCTGCAGAAGCCCCAGGCGTATAACATCGACCCCCTGCACATGCTGTACCTACTGAAGGAGAAGAACAGAGCCCGGGACTTCTTCGAGAAGATCAACAAGGACAAAGACGACGGGCTGACGAGAGACGAACTCTTCCTGTTATTTAAGGTATATAGTTTTACGTCGCTTTTAGCAATATTTTAGAATTATTACGGCGGGGGACAGCAGAAATTGGCTTCACACATTGTACCCATGTGGGAAATCGAACCAGGCCTTCGGCATGACGAGCGAACGCTTTAATCACTAGGCTACTCCATCGTCCGTTTTAGGCATAAGACTAACAGAAACAAAATCATTATGGCACGACATCTTTCAAGTATGTTTTGTTGAATTTAATGTTTTTATATTCCTTTGTAAGTTTTTACTTATGAAATAATATCATTGCTTCCTTTTCTAAAAATGATCAAGGGCAGTCGGGTTCGAATCCCGACATGGGTACAATGTGTGAAGCCGATTTCTGGTGTCCCCCGCCGTGATATTGCTGGAATATTGCTAAAAGCGGCGTAAAACCATACTCACTCACTCACTTAAAATGATCAAGCAAGTTTAGTTCAGCCCCGTTTCAGACTACGCTGTGGTATATGTTCTCCACTGCACCCAGAATGGGTATGATGTTGACAAACAGGGATGGTAATTTGGGCGGATTCTGGATTCGAACCCACTACCAGCGGATCCTGGCATGTGAGGGACACAACGTGCCAATGCATTTCCTGGAACATGCACTTCATAAACCCCATAGATTTGTACTATAGTTGAACTTAAAAGAAAGTCTCCCCGTGAAGATCCGGGGTAGAATAGGTGTTCAGCAACCCATGCTTGCCGTAAGAGGCGACGATGCTTGACGTAAGAGGCGACAAACGGGAACGGGTGGTCGGGCTCGCTGACTTCGTTGATGCATGTCATTGTATCCCAGTTGGGTGGATCTATGCTCATGATGTCGATCACTGGATTGTCTGCTCCAGATTATTTACAGACCACCATCATATAGCTTGTAAAAATGCTCAGCGTGGTGTTAAACCAAAAAACCAAAAAACAAAAAAAACAAAAAAAATAAAAGAAAGTCCTCGAAACTTAAGCGTTCTCAAATTAAACATGATTTATTTGAATATAAATACCATTGACAGATTTCGAATATCGATTCAATTTCACACAGGTCTCAGTAGATATCATGGAAGACTGTAGGTCAGCCCCTGAATATTATAGTCTCATTGGATGTTATTAATTATGTCTGACTGAGTATGGTTTTTACGCCGCTTTTAGCAATATTCCAGCAATATCACAACAGGGGACACCAGAAATTGGCTTCACACAATGTGCCCATGTCGGGAATCGAACCCGGGTCTTCGGCGTGACGAGCGAACGCTTTAACCTCTAGGCTTCCCGACCGCCCCTAATAATTATGTATTCGATAACCAGCTGGTAATTTTGCTAATTGTTGGCCATTGTTTGTTGTTGACAGGAAGCAGGGTTGCCGTGCACGGTGTCCGTGGTGGACAAGATCATGCGGTTTATGGACACCAATGGAGACGGCACTATTGACCTTGCGTGAGTCATTCTAGCAGATATCTTAGCGTTTCAAGATGTGTTTTCACGAATATCAAAATAATATAAAAAATTGTCTCAATACATTGTCTGGTTTATGTGACACTACTACACGTTCCTATTAAAGTGACTTTGATTACAGTCATACCATGACATTCAACGCATGTTCCGATAGTTATGAAATCAACTTGATGAAATTGTTTTTGTTTTTTTGTTATTAACATTACTATGCAGGGTCGGTTCCGCCATGTTAAGCAACAAGTCTTCATACTCAATTATCCAGTGTGTTATATCTTCATTCTGTGATGAATAAATACCCTTTCGCCACCATTGATTCGTTTTGGATGTGACGTCACTATCTCGGTCTCTTTGATCTCAAACTTCGCACAGAATTTCTCTTGCTCTCTCGAGTGTAAATTGGACGGGTATTTTTAGCGTCGCGTCACTGGAATTGGCCTCAAAGCAAATAGAAACTGTGGTATCGAATTGGTCGGTGAAGGTATTTAACTGAATCATCGGGATTGGAACGTCTTCGTTGTAGTCTCAATCATAAAGATTGTTCGAAGACCAGGCCAATGCTAAAAGATAGAAGTCACGGCAGCCAAATCCCTTGGATCTCTTTGTAAAATGGCCCTAGACTTGATCTACGAAGCAGTTTTAGCGCTACAAGGTTAACTTGCATCACAGAAACACTTAACTATATATAGATCAGTTTTAACGTTAAGATTGTGGACTCGTGAAGATCCGGGGTAGAGTAGGTCTTCAGCAACCCATGCTTGCCGTAAAAGGCGACGATGCTTGTAAGAGGCGACTAAGGGATCGGGTGGTCAGGCTCGCTGATTTGGTTGATGTATGTCATCGTGTCCCAATTGCGTGGATCGATGCTCACGATGTCAATCACTGGATTGTCTGGGTCAGACTATTATTTACAGACCGTCGTCATGTAGCTGGAATATTGCAGAATACGGCGCTAAACAACAAACAAACAATTCATAAGATGGTACAACTTGCCCCGCTTTAATGGATGATGTTATAACATCATAGTTTCGTGCCCAACTAAGTCTAATAATGCGAATATCTCGTATAATGTATGATTTGTTTCTATGAAATTAGTGTTGGAATAAACTATTGAAGTTTGCTAAAACAAACTTTCAATATGCCGGGAGATTCCGGCTTGATTCCTGCATCCTGTGCTGGTCGAAAGAGGCGACCAAATGGATCGGGTGGTCAGACTCGCTGACATGGCTGTGCTCATGTGATCGTACCCCGATCGCGTAGTCGTTGCCCATGATGTCAATCACTGGGTTGTCTGGTTCAGACTCAGTTCAGCGTGAGAAATTGGCACTAGTCCTATAGTCCTTGCCAAACTGCCCAATGGTAAAGGTATCATAAGGACTAGTAGAAATGTGCCCTTTTTAAGGGTTTTGCTATATGTTATCATTATAAGGACTAGTGGACGAAAACTGTTAGTTTCTAACCCTGCAGTTATTAAAAGGCCGCCGTCACATAGCTGGAATATTGCTGAGCGCGGCGTTAAACAACCAATAAAACTTTAATCCCGGTCGTGCTCTTCCTCAGGGAATTCCTGGTGGGCGACAAGAAGATCAAGAAGTACTCGCGGGAACAGTTAAGGAACTCGCTTTCCAAGCAGGGAGACAGCTACGCTAAATACTCTCGGACGTTCCGGAAGGCCAAGATAGACCCTCTCACTCTGCAGGTGAAGGTGGAAGACGCTTCCAAACAACTGTCGCCAAACACACTACTACCGCCCCCTACCGGCGTGCCGGGGTCACGAAGGGGCAGCACCGCTTCCATGAGAGGAAACTGAAAGATATATACTGACTAATCTTGTCTTGATTGTTGTCAAATGACCATGGATGTATCAGCAGTATTGCCTGGATTAGCGACCAATACGACCAATGAGGGGCAATAAGCACGTATTTATTACGCATAAGGTTAGAAATAACCGAGTTCATAACATCGTATGTGCATTCGTGCAAATATCACTTCACGGTAACCAGTGTATTGTTTACGTCATCCGGACGGCATTGTTGATCGAATCTTTTAGTGACGTTAGGCCGAAATGACGTCACACTAGTAATGACGTCATAGCTGAAGATTGACGTCATTCGAAAAATGTGGTTTTTTTCTGAGAAGGCGGTGGTGAACTGTTCATTGTTTTAATATAATCAATTATTACTCTCGCATATGTGTCCTAGTGATTTTATGAAACTCGTGTAAGAATTCATGTATCATCCTCGCTCGGGAAATACAAGATTCTGAAACTCGTTTCGTAAAATCAGTAGGACACACATTCTTGTATATTAATCTCTATAAGTATAACTTTACGAAACAATGGTATGTACATGTTGCGTATATTGTATTAATCCACTACATCACATGATGATGTCCCCCAGATTGTTGATGAAGGTGGCGATGATTAATAATGTCTTTAGACAAAACAACATACGCAGACAGGCCGTTTCATTCCCACCAAAGGGGCGTGGGCGATTTGTTGTCACATTTCCAAGGCAGCTAACTCTTACCTCAATTTCTTGACGTGATAATATTACTTCCAGAGTTATCTCCCACTCAGCCCGTCTCCGTGAAATAGGGGCTTGGCCAACTCCAGGAATCTATATATGGAAACTTGTTTCGCGCACATGACTCTCACGTGATACAGGTGAACCAGGCGGCAATCGTGAACCTCATTTAATGTTGCTTTTAACTTAATTTAAATTCTCTACCGATTTTCTGCTGAGCACGGGATAACCTGCCTTTAAAACGTTGGACGAACTATTTGCGGCGGGATTTGGCGTTATACGGTTTACAGCGAATTCATGCAATATCACTACTCCATTACCGGGATGATGGTACGGAGTTAGCCGAGTGGCCCGGAATGTGTATGATCATACCACTATCACACGCACATTTTCACATTTTCTCAAAGATCGGCACTGGTATATACCACTCAGGGTTGATATACACGAAAAACACGTATACCTCGTGTAAGTATATATCAGGACTCATCGCCACACAAAGCGATCTCAGCGAATGCCCAAACTCCACTGTATGTCTTCCACAGGAATCAAAAGTTCTAAATAAAGCGTCGAAATTGTATTATCTTCAACTATGATTGATAATATAAAAAGGCATTCAATTTCAACACATATAAGAGACGGGTGTTTGATAATAAAACTGCATACAATTTCATCGGCGAAGTGGGGTAGCCTAGTGGTAAACGCGTCCGCTCGTCATGCCGAAAACCCGGGTTCGATTCCCGAAATGACTACAGTGTGTGAAGTCCATTTCTGGTGTCCCCCTGTGATATTGTCGGAATATTGCTAAAAGCGGCGTACAACCATTCTCTCGTATTTAATCTGAACTTCTAATCCCTTTGTACATGGACATTGTACTCATGACAGTTGCATGGAGCGGTAAGATCACCTTGTGTTGTAGAGCCATTGTTGTTAGGAAGACTGCATGATCTTGTTGATGTTGAATTGTGATGTATTGTTTTATAGGTGTAATAGTCCTTGGACAGAAAATTAATAAATAATATAAATGTAGATTATGGCCGACCTGTTGTCTTCATTCCTGGAATCCTTTGTCCTCATGAACTTGTGTTTTTTGTGTGTTTGTGTGTGTGTGTGTGTGAGAGAGAAAGAGAGAGAGAGAGAGAGAGAGAGAGAGAGAGAGAGAGAGAGAGAGAGAGAAGGAGGAGGATTGTCTACAACATGCTACATTTGGTTTTCAAAAGGGAGTGGGGGTCTGGACACCCTCTCCGCATCCGAAGTAGGCTTCTCGGGGGTACGGGGGACCCAGACGTCCAACGCACTGTAATTATCTTTGCAGAGTTGCATCCCTTGTGCACGCAAGAAACCTATGATCGTGGGTTCGAATCCCGGTTCGCCCCGATTTCCAGGTTTGTCAGCACTATACCCTTGCTAGGTCATCAAAGTGGTAAAGAATTTGAGACCTGCATCATTTTCGGCTTTCCACCCATATCATGTCGACACGCCGTGATGTAACTGGAACCCAAATCGCCTGACCACTCACTGAGTAGGATTCTGTGTAATAAAGCGTATCCTACATCAATTCGAACTCACAATCAAAGGTTTTTGGCGTGTCCAAGGGACGCAACTCTACACAGCGAATCGCGGCGCCTCAGACGACTGGGCTACCCGTGCCCCTAGTAAAGGAAAGCGACGTATGGAAATGGATCTTCATCAAGCATATAATATTAATGTGCTCTCGAAATGAAATCGGGGATAATGAAATACATTATCTGCTAAAGGTGGAACCGTGTGATTGTAGCTTGAAAACCCGGCAGAGGGGTACTAAGTGTCTCCATTTTCCTAACGGAGTTGCCTCCCTTGCAGTAATATCATCCTATGGGGTGTGTAATCGCATGCACTACGACAGACATACTATTACTTCAATTCTTCCAAGGTATCCTTGAATCTTCCCTGACAGGCAGCAATCTACCTAAATTGATGATGCGTGTTATTTCCCCTCGGCCATTTTGGGACGAAGCACACGAATGCATCGATTTCTGTGTCAGTTACAAGTGCCGTAAATATAGTGGCGATTCGCCTTGAAATATTGTCTGAAATGACATAGGTTATATATCACTCATACTTCGAACCTAGCAGTCAAGACAATTACAGCAAGGACTATCCCCATTGTCAGTAGTAGGAAAGGTTGACGGCTAGAGGACTAGTTATTTAAGACGAGGCCATGACCTTGTGTAACAGTGCATTCTCAGCCTGTCCGCAACACCTCTCTGCCTGCCTATCACAGCTGTGCATTCTCAGCCTGTCCGCAACACCTCTCTGTCTGCCTATCACAGCTGTGCATTCTCAGCCTGTCCGCAACACCTCTGTCTGCCTATCACAGCTGTGCATTCTCAGCCTGTCCGCAACACCTCTCTGCCAGCCTATCACAGCTGTGCATTCTCAGCCTGTCCGCAACACCTCTCTGTCTGCCTATCACAGCTGTGCATTCTCAGCCTGTCCGCAACACCTCTCTGTCTGCCTATCACAGCTGTGCATTCTCAGCCTGTCCGCAACACCTCTCTGTCTGCCTATCACAGCTGTGCATTCTCAGCCTGTCCGCAACACCTCTCTGCCTGCCTATCACAGCTGTGCATTCTCAGCCTGTCCGCAACACCTCTCTGTCTGCCTATCACAGCTGTGCATTCTCAGCCTGTCCGCAACACCTCTCTGTGTGCCTATCACAGCTGTGCATTCTCAGCCTGTCCGCAGCATCTCTGTGTGCCTATCACAGCTGTGCATTCTCAGCCTGTCCGCAACACCTCTGTCTGCCTATCACAGCTGTGCATTCTCAGCCTGTCCGCAACATCTCTCTGCCATATAATCTCAGTCTGCAGTATATTATCAGCAATATCACAGCTACATAATCTCAGCCTGTAGTATATTATCAGCAATATCACAGCTACATAATCTCAGTCTGCAGTATATTATCAGCAATATCACAGCTATATAGTTTCAGTCTGCAGTATGTTAGCAATATCACAGCTATATCTCAGTCTGCAGTATATTACCAGCAATATCACAGCTATATTATCTCAGTCTGCAGTATATTACCAGCAATATCACAGCTATATAATCTGTCTGCAGTATGTTATCAGCAATATAACAGCTTTATAATCTCAGTCTGCAGTATATTACCAGCAATGTCACAGCTATATAATCTCAGTCTGCAGTATATTATCAGCAATGTCACAGCTATATAATCTCAGTTTGCAGTATATTATCAGCAATATTACAGCTATATAATCTCAGTCTGCAGTATGTTAACAGCAATGTCACAGCTATATAATCTCAGCCTGTAGTATATTATCAGCAATATCACAGCTATATAATCTCAGTCTGCAGTATGTTATCAGCAATGTCATAGCTTTATAATCTCAGCATGTTTCTTGTAAGCAATATCACAGCTATAAAATCTCAGTCTACAATATGTTATCAGCAATATCACAGCCATATAATCTCAGCACGTAGTATGCTATCAGCAATATCACAGCTATATGAGAGATACATGTATATATATATATATATATATGATAAGCCCCCTGATCATGAGAATGGATACTATGGTGAACATCCACCTCTTGAGTGAGTGAGTGAGTTGGGTTTAACGCCGCTTTTAACAGTATTCCAGCTATATCACGGCGTGTCAGCTTAATGTGGGAGGAAAGCCCGAAGTGATGCAGGTCTAAGACGTTAACCACTTCGGTGAAACCCACGAGCACGGGTATGGTGCTGACAAACCTAGAAACATAATCGGGGTGAACCGGGATTCGAACCCACAACCATAGGTTTCTGGCGTGTCCAGGGGACGCAACTTAGACGACTGGGCCACCCGTGCCCCCTCCACCTCTTGAAGTCCACTTCACCTTCCGACCCCAGAAACAAAGCATCTTCTCCAGCCTCCACTACACAATGACAACAGAACACTGTGTAACAAGTAATAAACTACATAGTTTAATGACAATCTTATACACAAATGTACAAAGTTTTCATTAATGGGAAGAATCTTTCTCCTCCTTTGCTGACAAGTCCAAGTCCGGCTTAAACTTTTCTACTGGCTTAGACAACGGCTGAACCATCGGTGACGACTGAAACAGGGCGGCCCTGGGTGCCCAGTTGCCGATGAGGGGGGAGGACATGAACGGCCTTGGCCTCTGTGGGCTGAAAGGGCTGCTGGACACCAGTGGAGTAAGATGACCGCCCCCGCGAGGTGACGTAGTACCCTGCTCCAGCGCCTCTCGACGCAGGCGGGCAGGACTGGGCCAGCTGAAAAAACAAAAATGTCAAAAATCATGTTTTGTTTAAAAGCAAAAGCATGTATAAAAGGGATAGAAATATAGGAATTTTTCCAATGTGCCATTTGGCACTAGTAAATATGGTTAGGTGCCCTTTGGAATATGTAGCCAATACTTTAACCAGCTTCCAGTTGGAAGAACGTGTTTCAATGAAAGAAGACAAATACAAAATCTGATTGAGATGTGTTCATGCATTCACCATTTTCTAAGTGTTTGCCAAGAGTACATTTCTTGCTGGCTTTACATAATGTAAATTGTCACAAGGACTTTTTTCTTTCTTTTGGACAAAAATGAAAACATTTTACAAGTATGCCCGATGGCATGGAGAACCTCGTTTAACTGTTACATTGTCATTTTATAAGGAACTTAAAACCCTGTAGCAGCCACAAAATTTCCGAGCAAGCTGACAAGGTAAGGATGTCATCTGTGGGACGACTCAACGCCCTGCTACACACTTCCCCGTCAACAGAAGGCACGTCCGGGGCCGCATAGTAGGGTACTGAGACTTATTTTGCACAAATTTAATATGAGCGTGCTCAGCCCCACGTTGGGCGTCAATTTGGCGGCCACAAAATTTCAGAGTCCCGTGATGGGATTCAAAACCACGGACCTTCTGATCCGAGGTTGGACGTTTTGTCCACATGAACAAAGAGGTTAACCCCTTCAGCAAGCTGACAAGGTAAGGATGTCATCTGTGGGATGACTCCACGCCCTGCTACAACCCTGTACAAAAGAACTTTATACTGTTGCTAGAATTACTAAATGTACTCCACACAAAGACCATAACTATAATTGAAATTCATATTTCATATGTAACTGACATTTACTTTCAGGAACTTAGTTCTAAGCCATCTCTATCTCCACACAAACAAGTACACTGTGACCTTAAACTGAAGCAGGCCTATGACATGTAGGCATTGCTGCATGCTCAAATGAAGATTAATAATTCATACATGATTGTAATGCTGATTTTTCTTGATTTTTGTTCATTTCCATGCCCTTATTAACCAAACTGAACTTAAGTTAATAAACCCATTACTCCACCTGCAAACCCAGATGAAAATAAAACCTGTCATTTTACTGATGGTAATAAATCTTAACTCAACTGTTCTAGTGAAGGCTGATGACTAAAGGGAGGTAACTTCTGTCACCACTGTGTTCCAAAATACCATGATTAACATTTTAGGATACAATCACAATAAGATCACAAGTCAGAGATAAACAAACACATAGAAAAAGCCAGTAAAGAGATGAGAGTCTGAAGATTGATTTTTCTAAAAGTTTCTGATTGGCAAATTCCTTCAATTCCATGTATTTGACATTTCTCAACTTGCTCCATAAATGTTAAGATTCAGTATCCTAGGTCTGAGTTGTTGTCACCGATTTTGATTGGGCGTCATTGTCCACTCCACATATAGTATACTTAAATATATCTCATATATCTGATTATCCCTATCTAAAGTTGGGTGGTACATGTATAGATCAAATGGTACTTATATCTGGTTGTCAAAATAAATTCTAGATTGCGCTAGATTTTGAAACTTGATCCCCAACTATACTACTTGGCAGTTTCATGCACAGCTTTTACAAACATAGCTCTAATACAATATGCATAAAACACGTAACTCCAGGTAGACTAAAAGACTACTTTGTCCACAGGCTGTGTGTAGACCTTATCCCTAGTGTGACCACACTGGATTAATCTAACCTGACTGGTATGGCCGGGGGACTGATTAATTATATTTAAAAACAATGGAAAAGACACAAAATGCGACAAACCATTGTTTACAACCACACTCAGCAATATTCCAGCTGTATGATGGCAGCCTATTAACAATCAAATCTGTACCTGACAATCCAGTGATTGATATTATCAGCAATGATCCACCAATCAGGGTACGATGACATACAACAGTATTAGAAATTGGCACTAGTCCTTGCAAAAGTGCCAAATAGTTAAGGTATCCTAAGGACCAGATGAAATTTTCCCTTTTTAAGGGTTTTGCTCTATGTTATCATTATGAGGACTAGTGGACAATGCTGATCTATTCCAACTAGGAATTCATATGGGGGAGAGTATTCACTTCTTTTAAGTGGACTGCCTCCGTGGTCTAGTTGTAGAGCACTCGCCCGGAGTGAGGAAGGTTCAGTGTTCAATCCCTGGCTGCATCATACCAAAAGACGTTTAAAAGTTGGTACTTATTGTTACTCTGCCTGACACTCGGCATTAAGGGGTTAAAAGAAGACAGGTCGGCTTGGAGTCAGTGTACTGTGTCTGAGTGGGGTGCCACGTTAAACTACGGCATGGGGTCTCAGTGGGCTAGCAGTATAAAATCGGCATTAGTCACTACTAGTATAAGCAGCCACAGCCACAGACAGACAGACAGACAGACAGACAGACATGCACATCGCTATAAAAGTCATTCATCTTGACACGGCGTTACACCCCATTTCACCTCATCTCTTTTAGTGAAAACTATTTGATACCTGAGAGATTAAAATGCAGGTCAAACCCAGGCCTTTAGCTCCACTGGCTGGTGAAGTCTTACCTCTGCTTGTTGTCGTCAGCCAGTGAAGACACTCTCTGCAACCATCTCTGAATCAGTGGGAACTTGCTGCTGTTCAAACTTGACCGGTCGACCGCTCGCAGGACGTCCAGGTCTGTCTTGGCATGCTTCAGCCTGAAACCAGTTCATACAGACACTGTACAGACTGATCTGGAACCAGTTCATACAGTCATTGTACAGACTGATCTGGAACCAGTTCATACAGTCATTGTACAGACTGATCTGGAACCAGTTCATACAGACATTGTACAGACTGATCTGGTGAGGTGAGGTGAAATTGGGTTTAACGTCGCGTCCAAGATTATTGCACTTATATAGCGACGTTCAGACTGATCTGGAACCAGTTCATACAAACATTGTACAGATGGATCTGGAACCAGTTCATACAGACATTGTACAGACTGATCTGGAACCAGTTCATACAGACATTGTTCAGACTGATCTGGAACCAGTTCATACAGACATTGTACAGAATGATCTGGAACCAGTTCATACAGACATTGAACAGACTGATCTGGAACCAGTTCATACAGACATTGATAAGACTGATCTGGAACCAGTTCATACAGACATTGTACAGACGGATCTGGAACCAGTTCATACAGACATTGTACAGACTGATCTGGAACCAGTTCATACAGACATTGTACAGAATGATCTGGAACCAGTTCATACAGACATTGATAAGAATGATCTGGAACCAGTTCATACAGACATTGTACAGATGGATCTGGAACCAGTTCATACAGACATTTTACAGACGAATCTGAACCAGTTCATACAGACATTGTACAGACGGATCTGGAAACAGTTCATACAGACATTGTACAGATGGATCTGGAACCAGTCAGACATTGTACAGATCTGGAACTAGTTAGACATTGTACAGACTGATCTTGAACCAGTCAGACATTGTACAGACTGATCTTGAACCTGTCAGACATTGTACAGACTGATCTGGAACAAGTCAGACATTGTACAGACTGATCTTGAACCAGTCAGACATTGTACAGACTGATCTGGAACGAGTCGGACATTGTACAGATCTGGAGCCAGTCAGACATTGAACAGACCGATCTGGAACCAGTTCATACAGAACTTGTACATACTTATCTGGAACCAGTCAGACGCACAGACTGATCTGAAACTAGTCAGACATTGTACAGATCTGGAACCAGTCAGACGCACAGACTGATCTGGAACCAGTTCATACAGAATTTGTACATACTTATCTGGAACCAGTCAGACATTGTACAGATCTGGAACCAGCCAGATCATACAGATTTTGTACATAAACAAGTTATTTTTAGAAATAGAGGAAGTTTTTTCTTATTCCATTGTCAGAATTACACTGTAGAAATATTTCAACCACATGAATAACTTACCCATGAATATACACATCCATCAGTGTCATCTTGGCCTGGAAAAACAGGGCTTGTACTGGCACAGTTCGTTGTCTCGTGGTATATTTCTCATCACAGGAAATGTCTATAGTCATCAGTTTTGGACCTTCGATGTTTAGAAGTTGATTCCTCATCTTAGAATCTTCTAGCAAGACCTTGGTGTCCGGGAAAACATTATTTACACTTGATGTATGTAAGGAGTCATTAAGGACCCAAACATTTGCAACCACGCAAGACGGGTCCGACCCTGCCGATCTAGCGTCAAGGCCAACCAACACCGGAGCAGGTTGATCTGCTGATTCCTCATCTTCATCCAGGTCCAGCATCTTGGTATTCGAGAGGATACGGAAGGCATCATTTGCATGGTGTGAATTGCCCAAAGGGACTGATATTTTACCATAGGGACACCCAACCATCCTTCCGACCGACAGAGCTGACTGCTGCTCTGGTGTGAAAACCAGTTTCCTTTTCAAATCATCACAGAGATTCGTGACGGCTGTATTGAAAGACACTTCTAGTTGGTTTGGTGTTCTGAAAGACTCACTGTCAGACCTCGGTTGGGACTCTGGTGTGTGAAATTCCTCATCACCACTTGACAACTTCATGCCGGAAAATGTTGCCACAACACTCTCATCAAAGCTTGTACTGCCCTCAGAGTCCAGTCTTGATGGGCTCGGATATTGTTCATTCTTTGAAGGTGAAGATCTGTCCGTGTTTGTGATTTCAAGTCCCTGTCGGTATGCCCATGGATCCGACTTCTTTTCTTCCTCCTTCTTACCAAATCTAACGCTTCTTGAGACTTGACTCGAATTCAGAACATTCTTACTTGTACCTGCTTTTTCAGGTAAGACTACATCGGTCTTCTTTTCTGGAGATTCCTGCTCTTGTCCTGTCCCCTCTGAGGGCTCCCTATATGACCACACATCCCTTTTCCCCGGTGTCTCTCCTGTGTCTTTCTCAGAGTCTGTAGTGCACCCTTTAGGTTTGTTATTGTTATCACAAATGGATCCAGACCCTTCAGAACCTTCTTCAGTTCGGGGCAGGTTCTCATCCAGTTCCTCTGGGTCTGTATTTTCTTGATTATTGCTCATAGAGGACAAGGAACTTGGCTGGATCAGAAGCCTGGACTTTGGATCTAAGAAACTGGACTGTAGATCCCTCTGTGAGGTGTTACAGAACACAGAGGAGCTATCCGACATGTTCAGGGGGCCAAAGTTATCCAGACATTCAGAGAAGACCACCGATGTCTGTCGTTTCTTGAAATGATCTTCCAGTTTTTGAAGGCCTTCTTCTGTGGAGAAGTCAACGAATTCATCCAGGAATTCCCAGTACTCTAACCATGGGATGTGCATCTCATGGGCCAGTTGTCTGAAATCAGACAAAACAGCATTATTCACCAATACTTCATTCTTGTAGAAAGATGACAAATGGATGTTAAGAGAGTACTATTCCGGTCACAACTTCAAGACATACACTTTTTACTCTCAAAGGGGGCCCGAAAAGCCAAACTTTTTTTTTACCTGGAATAAATTCCCCCATAAATCACAAAGTGAGTGAGTGAGTGATTGAGTGCGAAATTGGTCTGCTTTCCTGGCCATTATCAGGATATCAAGAACACAGAGGATTCCTTATACATTTATTTGCTCGATTAGTGATAAATTAGAGGAACTCTTCACTAAAAGACTGAACCTCTAATGGCCCTAGTAGGGATACCTATATAATAAGAAAAACTACCTTGGGCTGGTACCAATGTGCATTCTTTGAAATCAAATCTTTAGTCATAGGGGCATGAGAATCAACTTTTAGTTTAGTTTTAATAAATAATTACCTTCCGATCCGTTCCATTCCCTTCTCTCCATCTTGCCGCCTGATCTTGGTGACCATTCTCTTGTCTCCGAAAGGACTGTTGGTAGGGGGCGCCACCCACTGCCTGTAAAACAGCTTGGCCTGGAACAGTTGCTGTCTTTGAAGTGTTTGTCAGCAATGGCTTGTTCATCACCAACAGTGAGTGAATTTGGCTTTGAACAGTATTGCAATTATATAATTGTGAGTCATCTTGATGTGGACGGAAACCCATAGAGCTGCGGGTCTTAGACGTTTACAACTTCAGTGAAACCCACAAGCAATGGTAAGGGTTTGACAAACCAAGAAACAATAAGGGAGAACTGTGATTCAAACCATCCTCCATAGGTTTCTGGCATGCCGTATGGATGCAACACTATACAGCGAATTGCAGTACATAAGAAAACTGGGCCACACTAATCATTACGAGAACCATACCATGAGAATACACTCAAAAGGAATGCTTAAAGGACCTCAAAAATATTTTTTTTAATCGAAATTGCTGTTACATTAAACAGGGAGTTGCTGACAGAAAAATCTTTCTGAAATGACATCCAATTCCTCTTGGAAAATTTAATGCTACAAGTAGTCTTGCATCTCAAACACGAGGACCTTTGGTTGAAAGAGAACCTTGTTGTGGGAGGGCAAGGAAGTAATTTGAACCTGAAAACAGTATTCAATGACCTCATCATAACATCATCAACCAACCCTTCTTAAGAAAAAGATAATTTTACTTTCTAAACAAGAGTCATCAGGAGATGATATATTCCCCGGTCTGGTGCAGTTCGGAAATGTGGTTTGGCTACTTATACCCCACTTTTGGTTCACTGTCATTGGATATTTTCAGTTCAGTGAAGAAACAAATAATGCTGTTCAGTATTTCTCAAAATCCGAAATCACCAAAGACACCAGGGCCCCATTCCACAAAGCGATCTTAGGGCTAAGTTGATTGTAACTCACTAAGTATGCTATCTTAAATTTTTGTTACGATCAGCCGCCCGTTCCACAAAGCAATCTTAACTAAGAGAGTTGTAAGTTAAGATCAAAATGCTAAGTTGCTCCGGACCAACTTAGGATTGCTAAAATCGATCTTAAATATTGTACCATAACAACAAAGATGGCGTCGTCTGCTAAACATGACCAAGGGAAAATTTCGTATCTTTATGGCTGAAGATTCCGATCTTTGTTAAGATCGGCTACTTAAGAACTTGTAAAGTAACAATCACCCTAAGATCGCTTTGTGGAACGGTTGTAAACTTTAGCTAAGACAATTTTAGAATCGACGTAAGTCTCTAAGATTGATTGTAGTTACGATCACTTTGTGGAACGGGGTCCAGTTCACCACTAGACTGATCCATGTAACAAGTACAGTATATATAACACATCTCAACAAGAAATATTTACCGAATTCTGCTCCTGTTCTATTCCTACTCAGTCTAAAGTTACATTTGTGAAAGCAAATATGATTTTATCATAAAATAAAATAAAAGATGTAGTATGCTTGTGAAAAAGTTTCATAAGTGTTTATGTGTAATATATTTTTACAATACAAAAATACCCTAGGATAACAATCTCTATACATTCACCAAATTCATGAAAATCGTATTTCTTCCTCAGCTCACCTGAGATGGAGACATGGGACCGGCTCGGGCTCTCACTGCGAGGGTAGGGTCCTTTGGACTCTTCTTCACCTGCGACCTGGTCAGGTCTGATGAGTGGTCAGGTGACCATGGCTGACCAATCACAGGCACTGTTGTGTTGTCTTCTGACCGAAGCAATGGCACATAGCACAACCCTGAAACAAAAAGGACAAAAAAAAATCATTTCTGCTTCTCTGTCTATGAAAGTTTTCAAAATCTGTAACAATTCTCATTTTAAAAAGGAATAAAAGTGTCTTATGGTCATGCTTAAACTTTTTTAAGCAGTCTTAAGTTAATATTAACAGATAATGTATGCATCTGATTCCTATTCTATGCTGACCTTTTCAACATGCATGAGCATTGAGGACCTATTCCACTCCTGGAGTATTGCAGGGAATAATCTATATGCTAACTATGGATGTTCAAAGGGAATTCATCATCGGTCGCCCATGTTTTATCATCAGCAAACAAAGGTATCAGGTATTAGAATTAATTTCCGCGATTTATTTCCCCTGCAAAGGTGCCTGAAAGCAACAAAGCTTTTTCAAATTAGTAGATCACTTGATACTTGTTTTATCAAGTAAGACAACACAATCTTTTTAGGTTTAGCCTTACGACTTACGATTTTCAATTACTGGTTTCTGTTGAAATAACTAACTTCAATCATGTAGTAACGTAAAAAAATCCCTTTTGGCTTTTTCTTCAACTTTGTTATCATGAAGCTGGCTCAAAACCTTAGAAACAGGGGCAGCACACAGAGATAAGGGAAACTCTCTTCCCGCTGTCAGCCATGTTGATAGAGACAAGCATGAGTTATCCCCCCACTTTGATTGGGATATTCAAGTGCTTTCTATAATGATAAATTAAGAGCGTTATTGATCACGCGTTTAACTTGGGAGTTTTTTCCCTCAGCAAACTCCCCGATCTGAGTGGAAGACCTACACTTCATCTCAGGGGATGCAAGGCCGTTCGGTTTTGACAATGATAAACATAATTGAGACTTTGTTCATATCAAATGGGGATTCTGACTGTTGATTTGCCTCCCAGCAATGACTTTTTTGGAACTGCATCACTGGTTGGCCAACTGCCTTTGTCCCCAAATATTGAACCCGTTTAAGGCGACAATGATTGGTAATTTTAATCATAATCGAACATCAAGTGCTGCTTGTTCAAAGTGTTTGAAAATAGTATTTACCTAATGACTCAGCAAGGGTAAAATATACCGCTTCCAAAACAATCAGTTGTTTGGTGAATGTTTTTCTTTCTTAATTACTTGGTTACGGATCTGACAAACTCAAATTTTACAAATGTTGATAGAAATTAAAATTTTTAGATTTGAATTTTCAACCTGACAAGATTGCAACCTAATTTCAGGCATGAATAAATAGTGCCACAACATTGTAGCTCACCTGAATATGTGGTCATTCACAGTTCATAATGTCAACAAAGCCCTTCAACAAAAGTTGCCGTCAGCAATTATATTCAGTTATTTTCTGCATACGTACTGAGGACTAAACAAAGACTAAACATGATATGATCCCATAAAGTTGATGTCATCATTGGAAGAAACAAACATGGTCATGTTCGGACTCGTCATTTCAGAGAAGTTTACAGAGCCAAATATGCATTTTGACAGAAATTAAGAGCATGGTTAATAAACAAAGGTCGTCAAAATCAGTATTGCAAGAAAGGAACATACAGCTTCTGACTAAATGTATACCAACTTTAATTACATTTTGTGTGAGTGAGTGAGTGAGTGAGTGAGTGAGTGAGTGAGTGAGAGAGAGTTTGTTTTACGCCGCTTTTAGCAATATCACGGCAGGGGACACCAGAAATGAGCTTCACACATTGTACCCATGTCAAGAATGGAACCCGGGTCTTCGGAATGACGAGCGAACGCGCTAACCACTAGGCTACCCGACCGCCTGATTGCATTTTGAACAATGATGGCCGCTTTACGGCAATAAACAGGCTCAGTAACATGGCTGCTGTGGTGACCTCCCCCTCCTTTATCAGACACCATGTCAGCCTCCTCTCCATGTATTGGTTGTTGTTCACTTTATGAAATGTATAGTCGCACTCGTTTTCAAAATCATGGATTGCTGCCCGAGGTATTACATTCAATAGCTAGGGCTGTCTAAAAAGAACGATAATCTGCATCTTCCCAAAAACCACAGCCGTGTAGAATGAGGTGCACAATATACACGCCATAAGGAGTTTTGATGTTTTTTCCCCCTCAAAGCAAAGACATATGTACAGCTGATTGCTGTTTCTGGCTTAGTACAAATTTGTACTGACCAAGTTTCTTATCACCCGTTCATTTACCAGATTCGCTGAAGGGGTACAGCGTAATTTTTTTCTGCGCATAATATTCGAAATATCTTTTTTCCAAAATACTGAATCCTCTAGAGGGGGGTGCGCATTATCCTTGGGTGGTCACTATACTCAAGAAAAGACAGTATGTTTTCTGTTACAGTGGCCTGTCTGGTCCAGGCAAACCAGTGACTGAACACATGAGCAACGCTTCCACCTATTGGGGTACGTAGACACAAGGCACAGAACCCGACAACCCAGTCAACTCTTACAATGAGCAACAGGTGCTGGGGACCTATTCTGGCCTGGACCCCTGCAATGTGCCTCCTCAGACAGGTTTGGGTTGGTTGGTTGGTTGGTTGGTTTGTTGTTTAACGCCACACTCAGCAATATTCCAGCTATATGACGGCGGTCTGTAAATAATCGAGTCTGGACCAGACAATCCAGTGATTGATATCCTGAGCATCGATCCACGCAATTGGAATACGATGACCTGCATCAACCAAGTCAGCGAGCCTGACCACCCGATCCCGTTAGTCGCCTTTTACGGCAAGCATGGGTTGCTGAAGACCTGTTCTACCCCGGAATCTTCACGGGTTACTTGATCTAGGCTCAGTCCCTCGAGGCACATAACAGAGAAGTAGGGAATCCACATAACGGTGAGCCATGACAGCTCAAAGGTATAAATAGTAGTGAATGTTTACAAGTGCAGACAATGTCAATCAGTAGGAAGAGGCAGGGTCAGTTTGAGACAATTTCCAAATTACAGCAATGCTTTATCAGTTTCTCTTGACAAACAAGAGTCATCAGAAGATGACAAATCCCCCCCACAAATTTGAAAGAACAAATCATCTGATTTTGTTGAGAAATATTAAACGGCTTTCTAGTTGTGCTATGGAAACAAAATCATTATGGACGGACAGGAGGGATGGACAGCCAGACAGACGAGGCATCGACTATATCCATCCGCCTTATATGCCGGGGGGATCAAATTAAATAAACAAAATATGGAGACATATAATATTTACTAGTCTGTGCAACCCGATTACATTATAACTGTCCTGATTCATGCGTACTGGCATTTGTCTAGTGGACTAGTGTATTTGTCAAGTGGACCAGTGTATTTGTCTAGTAGACCAGTGTATTTGTCTAGTGGACTAGTGTATTTGTCTAGTGGACCAGTGTATTTGTCTAGTGGACTAGTGTATTTGTCAAGTGGACCAGTGTATTTGTCTAGTGGACCAGTGTGTGTCTAGTGGACCAGTGTGTGTGTCTAGTGGACTAGTGTATTTGTCAAGTGGACCAGTGTATTTGTCAAGTGGACCAGTGTATTTGTCAAGTAGACCAGTGTATTTGTCAAGTGGACCAGTGTATTTGTCTAGTGGACCAGTGTATTTGTCTAGTGGACTAGTGGATTTGTCAAGTGGACTAGTGTATTTGTCTAGCAGACCAGTGTTTTTGTCAAGTGGACCAGTGTATTTGTCTAGTGGACCAGTGTATTTGTCAAGTGGACCAGTGTATTTGTCTAGTGGACCAGTGTATTTGTCAAGTGGACCAGTGTATTTGTCTGGTGGACCAGTGTATTTGTCAAGTGGACTAGTGTATTTATCTAGTGGACCAGTGTATTCATCAAGTGGACCAGTGTACTTGTCTAGTGGACCAGTGTATTCGTCAAGTGGACCAGTGTATTTGTCTAGTGGACCAGTGTATTTGTCAAGTGGACCAGTGTATTTGTCTAGTGGACCAGTGTATTTGTCAAGTGGACCAGTGTATTTGTCTAGTGGACCAGTGTATTTGTCAAGTGGACCAGTGTATTTGTCTGGTGGACCAGTGTATTTGTCAAGTGGACCAGTGTATTTGTCTAGTGGACCAGTGTATTTGTCAAGTGGACCAGTGTATTTGTCTAGTGGACCAGTGTATTTGTCTGGTGGACCAGTGTATTTGTCAAGTGGACCAGTGTATTTGTCAAGTGGACTAGTGTATTTATCTAGTGGACCAGTGTATTCGTCAAGTGGACCAGTGTATGTTTCTAGTGGACTAGTGTATTTGTCAAGTGGACCAGTGTATTTGTCTAGTGGGCCAGTGTATTTGTCTAGTGGACCAGTGTATTTGTCAAGTGGACCAGTGTTTTTGTCTAGTGGGGCCGTGTATTTGTCTAGTGGACCGGTGTATTTGTCTAGTGGGGCCGTGTATTTGTCTAGTGGACCAGTGTATTTGTCTAGTGGACCAGTGTATTTGTGCAGAAGATCAGTGTTTCATATATCAAAGCCAAATCATATCCTACAACACGATTAATGCAAGTTCGGAAACATTTCAATTTCTTTCATTTATTACCTTTCAGTAACTCCATAATCCTGTTTTTGAGCTCTGGGGTTGAATTTTGACATCTACTGCATACAACCTGAAATACAAGTATTTCAGCATCAGTTGACATTGTCAAATGCATTAAGTTAAGCAATATTTAGACGTAATGTGAAGCTGTCTTATAGTTGTCTATATCCTTTCCAATCACAACTACAGACCTGCACATTTGTTGCTTAACACCACACTGAGCAATATTCAAGCTATATGAAAACTGACTTCAAATAATCAAGTCTGAACCAGACAATTCAGTGATTGATATTATGAGCAATGACCCAAGTTGTTGACCCATGGTGTGTTGACACTCCATCAACCAAGCCGGATGATCCCTTCCTTCTTTTAAGAGTGAGTGAGTGAGTGAGTATGGTTTTATGCCGCTTTTAGCAATATTCCAGCAATATCACGGCGGGGGACACCAGAAATGGGCTTCACACATTGTACCCATGTCGGGAATCGAACCCAGGTCTTCAGCGTGACGAGCGAACGCTTTAACCACCAGGCTACCCGACCGCCCCCTTCTTTTAAGATGTCTCTTACGACCAACAAAGGCTGTTGAGGATCTATTCTAAACTTGAATCCAAAGGGCTGGCGCTTAAAGACACAAAACGTATATATACTTAATATTTCTCAACATTTTCTAGATTCCCAAATAGAATGCAGTGGATAAGATGGCATGGAACTTCACCCTGAACTCAAAAGACATATCATTATTTCAAAAGGCAAAACCCATCAAAATTTCTGTTTTTAGCTTATTCAGCAGAATTTCCGAGATGGCATGGATTCGCATTGAGGTGGTATGAATAACATCATTTGCTTTGACATTTGGTCTTATAAACATATAAATAAATTATGGTCACAGAATCAGAAACACATAAGTACATGCTGCCTTGACATCAGTGCGATGTTCATTTGCAGGGAAACATCATGCCTAATGAGTGGTTGTGTGGGAAATGTAATCTCGCCTTCTCCTTCTCCTTGAAAGCGAGTCATTTCTACACAGTATCATGTATCCACATCGCCATCCCTGAATCTAACCTACATCTGTAAATCAAAAACACTGATCATTGGACAAAAAATCCCATTATTCCAACATTACCATTCCAACATGACATTTAGAAAATATCATCATAATCTTTGAATATGTCTGTCTATACCTAGGTGATCATTAAACCAGTCATATGAAACAAATAACATTCGGTATTGAAGACGAATTAATCAGGTTGTAGGTTTCTGTCTCCAAGTAATCAATCAGCACTGACAGCTATGGACGACAATTAACAAGGGTGTGGTGCATATTGCATGCACAGCCCACCGCATGTCACACACCGTCTCTTTAATGTTGAAGGAAAACATTGTATTGTTGCAATTCTTACTGCCAAAGCAGCCTAACTGCAAATTTGGCGCCTATGATTTATCAAGAAGTCCATACTTGGCTGCCTCATGTCAAAACCTATTGACAACCATGAAATCAAGCTGGACTTAAGTATACTACTAAAAAAGGTTAAGGGTTACCAATACTTTCATATTACTGAAGTTAATCTGTCACGCAATTGATGTAAGGTTGATAGGGTAGCCTTGTGGTAAAGTGTTCGTTTACCACACAGACAGCTTCAGTTCTATTCCCAGCAAGTGTACAATGTGGGAAGCCCATTCCTTGTGTTCCGAGAAGTGATGTTGCTGGAATAATGTCAAAAGTGTCGTAAAACCACTCTCACTAAATTAAATAATGTTGCTATTGCGCCCTTCAATATAGCGCGTGGTAAAGCATGGCTCCCAAAATTTACTAACATTTTAAATAAACTCAAGTTTTCCAATGACACGATGTTTTCCCCCATCTCAGAAAACATTATCAGCTGATCACCGCGATCACATAACACCGGAAATACCAGTCACTAATTTATTATTTAATATCTGGTAATGGGTAGTGTAACTAAGTGTAACTAAGGTGCCACAACACCAGATTGTTCCATTTATTTCCACTAGAACCTTCAGGCTAACACACCTCTGAGCAAGCTGACCTGCCATCACCTGAACAACATAATCGCCCCGCTTACACTCACAGAATACTGTTTTGTTGGTTTGTTTGTTGTTTAACGCAGCGCTCAGCAATATTCCAGCTGTATGACAGCGATCTGTAAATAATCGAGTCTGGACCAGACAATCCAGTGATTGACATCATGAGCATCGGTCTACACAATTGGGATGTGATGACATACATCAACCAAGTCAGCGAGCCTGACCACCTGATCCCGTTAGTCTCCTCTTACGACAAGCATAGATGCCTTTTATAGCAAGACCTATTCTTCACGGGTCACAGAATACTGCAAGGCATTTATTGGACACAGACCATGAAATAAATACTACTTTGGGACATGTTAATCTAGCTGGTATTGCTTCCAGTGTAATCATGAGAGTGGGGAGTGAGGGAGAGAGAAAGAGAGAGGGAAAGAGAGAGAGAGAGAGAGAAAGAAGGAGGGAGAGAGAGAGAGAGGGAGGGAAGGAGTGTATTGAAGCCTATCAAACAAATGCTACAACCCGACCAAACTTGGCAGCTGTAAATTGAATCACAGACATCTCCACTCTGCTACTCATGATGGAGGATGGCATCAAAGTGTCAGGAACTCCTCCAAGACGGACAATTAACATACTTTCCGAGACAGGTGTCCATTATGCCGCGTTCATAAACTGTTCTTCATCAGGCTACAACAACATGATAACGTGTTCTTCGGATGTTTATTTGTCAAAAATGAGCAAACAGAAAAAGTCCTCATAATTTATTTTTCTGGCTTAACAATTAGTGGTCATGAAAAATCTTAGGCACTGGCAAAAAATCAATACATCAAGATACCAATAAATGAATTAAGTCTGTGAAGCCCCATTCATCGAGCAGATACTACCCCACTCCGTGCCACGGTCGGGAGTGATCTTGTTTACCCATACACAGCACTACTTTGTCCGAATAGTGAATGATCCATTAGGCCGGTAAATAGCCATTATTAGATTGTCATCCATTTGATCCTGAAAAGTGAGGTGTCTGGTATTGTTTTTTTCAGGATTAGAAACGACTGCAATCATTGACTGTTATAAATGTCCGTAGGGACAAGTTGTTTTTTCCTGATATTAGTAACAACTTGAAGAAAATAATTTGCTGCTAATGATGACAAACTAAGGGATTGGTGCACAACCTAGCCTCATAGGAAAAGCCTTTCCAAGTTTGCATCGACCATAATTACTCGAACCCCCACAAATAGCTGCAAAATTGCTGATGTGGATATATGGGGCACGTGTCTCACACCTCCTCACTGTTCTGTGTGGCTGCAAATAGTTGCTTATTCTTGTATTGCAATATTCCTTCTCTCATACACTAGTTTGTGATAATCCGTTGTTGACCAGGTAAGGTCACTGCTTGTCCAAAGAGACGACAAAAATTAATCAGGTGGTCAGAATCATCAGGTTTTTCATGGATATTGCTCATGTTTTCAGTCACTGGTATTCATGGACTTGATTATTTCCAGGCAGACGTGATACGGCTTAAAGTGGTGCCAAACAACACTCACTCCATCACATTATTGGATACTCATCGCAGGTATGTATACTCACCACCAAAAAAAACCCACCACGAACCATAGAAACACATAGAGAAGTACCTGTATGTACGTTAAGAAGAGATTTCAATGTGTACCAATTAATGACAAAACTAAACAAAAGTGTCTTTATTCTTATCACTATATGCTGCACATGATTTCCAAACTTTACACGCTAATCCTTCACGAGACAAATGGTGCATCTCGAGTCATGGATCTATGACGTCACATGTGATGCGTTCATGAGCATTGGTACACACAACATACCAGTATGTTCGCTTGTCCTTCGAACCAATCTAATATCTCTTGAATGAGTAAGTCTTCATATATCAACCAACATGTATGGCATTTTTTAGTTCAAAGCTGCACTCAGCAATATTCCAGCTACCGTATTCGACGTAATAAGCACCCGGGGAACTCTCAAAATTGGAAATAGGGGGCTCTTATTAGAATATAATTTTGGTGAGAAAAAAACAGAGTTGAAAGATTGTAAATTTCGTAGTTTATGCTGACAGCCTGAAATGATACAAAAGGAAAGTATGTGCGTATCATACATGACAGATATATTCTCAGAATTTAATTGCCCATAATTAAGGGTGCATATAACACACGAGTGCATATTATACACGAATCAATAAGTCTTGTGTACATTGATCAATGGGAAGGGGTGCTAATTGGTATTGTTCACTAGCAAATATATATTAGCAAATATGGGTGCTTATTAGATCGGGGCGTTTATTACGTCGAATACGGTATATCACGACAGCCTGTAACAATCAAGTCTGGACCAGACAATCCAGTGATTGATGATATGAGTAATGTCCCATGTAGTATATAGGAACAAAGACATGCTTCATTCAAGTCACAGAGCCTGACCATCGGAGACATGAAGTCACCTCTAACGACCAGCATCGATTGCTCAAGGACCAGTCTTAAGAGGCCATCACTGTTGAATGGCTGAAACCAAAGACACAAGTTCACCCTGACACTGTCAAAGCATTTCAGTTGATAACATCCATCTTTATTGAAATGATTACAATATTTTCCAATAATTTGAAACTTTAGGAAATCTAATCTGAACTTGATCTTTTAAATCGACGCCAGATCTTACGCTAAAGGCAAGTAATTTTCCTTTAATCAGAATGTCAGAAATACGATGTCATGCCCATAACGAGATCAGAGAAAGAATTTGAGCTAATAAAGATGCCTGTCCCAAGGACATCCCATCATCTTGACCTGATTAAAATGTCAAATACAAGAAAACGATGTTGAATGTGGCCATCAGAGCTGAATGAGTTCAGCCTAAAGGACTAGTTTACTACCCCGGTACTCATGAGTGACTTCCACCTGGGGCCGAAAATAACGACTGAACCTGACCTTAGCATGACCTTTGACCTGGCTATTTGCTGAAGCCGGGGGGGGCATGCAGGTAAACGTACACACCTGAGCTCACAGG